GGCTATAAAATCAATACCCAAAAGTCCATGGCTTTCCTATACCCAAATAGTGAAAGAGAAGAAAGTGACATGAAGAAAACAATCCTGTTCACAATTGTGCCCCAGAAAATCAAGTACCTAGGAATCAGCTTTACTAAGGAAGTAAAGGACCTATACAAAGAAAACTACAAAACGCAACTTCAGGAAATAAAAGAGGACACAAGGAAATGAAAAAAATATCCCCTGTTCATGGATCAGGAGAATTAACATTGTCAAAATGGCAATACTTCCCAAAGCACTGTACAAATTCAACACGAGCCCTATCAGGATACCCATGACATTCTTCAAAGAAATGGAGCAAACACTCCTGAAATTTATATGGAACAATAAGCCCCCACGAAAAGCTAAAGCAATTCTTGGGAAAAAGAAAATGGGAGCAACCAACCTCCCTAACTTCAAACTCTACTACAAAGCAGTAATAATTAAAACAGCATGGTACTGGAACAAAGGCAGAGTTGTAGACCAATGGAACAGGGTTGAATATACTGACATCTCCCCCCCAAGCATACAATCATCTCATCTTTGATAAGGGATCAAGAAAAGTGAAGTGGAGCAAGGAAAGCAACTTTAACAAATTGTGCTGGCAAAACTGGACAGCTACATGCAAAAAAGTGGGCTCGAAACTCTGCCTAACCCCATGTACAAAAGTAAGATCAAAGAGGATTAAAGACCTCAACATCAGACCAGAATCCATAAGGTACACTGAGGAAAAAGTTGGCAAAACCCTTCATGACATTGAAGCTAATGGTATCTTCAAAGATGTCACACTACTGGCCAAACAAGTGAAAACAGAGATAGACAAATGGGACTATCTTAAACTAAGAAGCTTCTGCACCTCCAAAGAAACAGTGACCAAAATACAAAGACAGTGTACAGAATGGGAAAGGATATTTGCCGAATACACATCTGACAAGGGGTTGATATCAAGGGTATACAAAGTACTGGTTGAACTCCACAAGAAGAAAACATCCAACTCCATCAAAAAGTGGGGCGATGAAATGAACAGAAACTTTCTCAAAGAAGAAATACGAATGGCTAAAAGGCACCTGAGAAAAAGCTCCACATCATTAATCATCAGGGAGATGCAGATCAAAACCACAATGAGATATCATTTCACACCACAGAGACTGGCCCACATCCAAAAGAACAAAAGCAACCAGTGCTGGTGCGGATGTGACGAGAAAGGGACCCACCTTCACTGCTAGTGGGAATGCCGACTGGTTCAGCCCTTTTGGAAAACAGTATGGAAAATTCTCAAAAAATTAGAAATTGAGCTCCCATTTGACCCAGCAATACCACTCCTGGGAATATATCCCAGAGAGGCAAAAAAGTATAGTCGAAGTGACATCTGCACTTGTTTGTTCATTGCAGCACTCTTTACAATAGCCACAATCTGGAAAAAACCTGAGTGCCCAAGAACAGATGACTGGTTAAAGAAACTTTGGTACATTTACACAATGGAGTACTATGTAGCTGTTAGAAAAGAGGAAGTCATAAAATTTACATACAAGTGGTACTACATGAAAAGTACCATGTTAAGCGAAATGAGTCAGAAAGAGAGGGACAGACATAGAAAGATTCCATTCATCTGGGGAACATAAAGTAACAAAATAGGAGACTAACACCCAAGAATGGCCGAGATTAGTACCAGGAATTTTGCTCCATGGCTTGGAGGCCAGTCACACATGCTAGGGGAAAAGGGAGCTCAGATAGAGAAGGGAGCACCAAATAAAGGGTGTTGGGAGGATCCTCCCAGGATGGGAGAAGCATGCTGAAAGTAGACTATAGACCAAACATGATTGCCACTCATTGCCTCTTTTGCAAACCACAGCACCCAATAGGAGAGAGAGAGAACAAAAGGGAATGCCCTGCCACAGAGGCAGGGTGGAATGGGGGTATGGGGGGTGGGAGGGATACTGGGATCCGTGGAGGTGGGAAATGGGCACTGGTGGAGGGATGGATATTTGATCATTGTATAATTGAAACCCAAGCACAAAAATTTGTAAGTCTACAACTGTACCTCATGGCGTCTAATAAAAATTAAAAAAAATTTTTTTCAGTAAATCTATTAATTGTCATGCAGACCTTTATGTAGTAAGAGAATTCCAAAACGTAAAGCCTTAGTGAAGAAATATAACTTGACTAAAGCAATTTTTTTTGCAGATGCAAGATAATTTATTTTGTATTGCTTGTTATAAATAATATAAAATGTCTGTAAGTGTCTATCATACAGGGATTCAAGAAAAGAAGGGAAAAAATAGTATGAGATTTTGCATGGCCACGAAAGTGGCCACACCCTCCCGGTATTCTAAAAATTAATATAATTGGGATCCGGAACCATTCCTGCAGTGAGCTGCTTGGTTCCAAGATTCATTTGTGAGTCTGATTAAAGCAATTTTTAAGAATGTGTCCAAATAAAACCACGAGTAGTACTGATGACAAGTGACAGACTATCCTATGTGTGCACAGGGCCACTCCTAGTGGTGCTTCGGGGACTATGTGGTGCTGAGGATCAACCTGGGGTTCCCACATGCAAAACACAAGGTCTTGCCTGTGGAGTCATCCCCCTGCCCAAATATTTGAAATTTTCATGAAAAAAGGAAAACATTTCAGCCGAAAAAATGGACAAAGGAAACAAAAATCAAAATAGGAAAAAAAAACCCAAAATACCAGCCAATAAACATTTGTAATTAAAAAAATTAATGTGTAAATAATAAGATACCATTAAATCGCTGAATTGTCAAATATTTTCTTTTGGGGAGAGGTTGGGTTTTTGGCCACACCCAGCAGAGCACAGGGATTACTGCTGGCTGTGTGCTCAGTGATCATTTCTTGTGGAGCATAGTTATGGGCACTGGTGCAGATAAGACCCGACCTTGCAAAATGGTCCGGAAGCGGGGCCCCTTCTGGGCAAAGCTGGCAAGGACAGGGTGTCAGCACCGGGTTCCTGGCTTGAGCCTCACTCAACCTCCTAGTCACATGAGCCATGACACAGAAACTGTCATGTATGCTTACCATGTCATCCTACCTGCAGCATCTAGCCTTGATTGGGATTGGACCAGGGCAAAGCAGAGTAGGAAAGGTAACAGGCCAATAATGCTAATCTTTATGTGATTGGACTTCCTGTAAAGCCGAAACCCTCTATAAAATATGTGTTTGACATATTTATTTGACAATAAAGTGAATAGCCATCAGCTGCTCCTAGAGGATTTTTCTCTACGTGCCAGTCATCCTTTGTCCCACGTCTGCCCGGGCCCAGTGCGTAACATGTCAAGACACATTGGGGAAAAACTGTTCCCCAACAATTTCTGGTGGTGCCTGGGAAACCATGTGATACTGGGGACTGAGCTGAAGTCATTCAAAGCCAGGCAAGTGCCTAGCCCCTGAACTATCTCGCCAGCCCCATGCACTGGCAAAGTTAAAAAAAAAAGTTTAACTAATAGTAGTAACAGAAGTTAGATATTCATTAAAAAATTTTTTTAAATTTATTTGGTTTGAGAATCACACCCAGTGGTACTTAGGGGTTACTTCTAGCTCTGCACTCAGGAACCACTCCTTGTGGTGCTTAGGGGACTATATGGGATGCCAGGGATTGGACCTCGGTTGGTGTGAGCAAGACAAAAGCCCTACCCACTGTACTATAGCTCCAGTCCCCAAGAAGTTATTACTGTGAAAAGCATAAATTGGTATAACTTCTCTGGAAGACAATTTGGCATAATGCATTAGAGATCCTAGTGCACACCCTTTTACCCAGCACTTCCATTTCTATGACTGAAAAGAAATCACTGTAGATATGCACAAAGATTACATATAAGAATCTTAATTTCTTGCTACTTAAAAAAATAAAAGTAGAGGGGGCCGAAGTACAGTGGGTAGGGTTTTTGCCTTGCCCGTGGCCCATCTGGGTTCAATCCCCAGCATCCATGTGGTTCCTCCAAACACAGCCAGAATGATTCCTGAGTGCAGAGCCAGGAGTAACCCCCTGAGCATCACTGGGTGTGACCCCCCAAAAATAAAAATAGAAACAGGGACTAAGTCAATTTAGGGTCTATTCTGTTAGGCATAAAACTATAAATTATTAAAAATTATGTAGATGAATATCATAATGGAAAAATTTTCACAACAAATTAAAAATATATATTGTTTTAAAATTTTGTCCACCCATAACCTATAAAACAAATACCTTATAATAATTGTGTAAAAAATGAGGTGATGGGGCTGGAGAGATAGAACAGTGAGTACGGCATTTGCCTTGCACGTGGCCAACCCGGGTTCGATTCCCAGCATCCCATATGGTCCCCTGAGCACCGCCAGGAGTAACTCCTGAGTGTGGAGCCAGGAGTAACCCCTGTGCATCACCGGGTGTAAACCAAAAAGAAAAAAAAGTGGGGTGAGGTTATTTTCAAGTTTCTCTCATTTTTCTGTATTTTTTGACATTTTATACTCACTGTATAAAATGGGGGAGGAAAACACTTCCTTCTATCTTCAAAACCACGAAGTTTTCTACATTCTAGCTTCTGAAGTTGTGACAGAGTGGGGGGCGGGGTCATAAAAATTGGCAACAGTAAAAGTTTCTGAACATGCAATGACCATAAAGTAATTAAAAATCATGGTTTGGATTGTACAGCAGTCTAGCAATCATCCATGCAGGCTCAATCCCTGACACCACTCAGTCCTGAAGTCCTCCCAGGAGTAAGCACAACTGGGGGTGGTGCAAGCTCACCCCCTTTCAAACTAAAACAAATGAACTGTGTACTGAATCCTGTGGCATTTCTAGAGTGAAAGAGTTGTGAATGGCAGATAATTAAGAAGTTCTGATCTACACTATAAAGGTTGTATCTGAAGTAAAACACAAAGTCTTTAAAGAGTAAACTGACATTCCCAAAAAAGCATTTAAAACAGTGATCACCACTAGGTCACATCCAGATGGTAGTTTTCTGTGGACTTGCCCTTCTCCATACCTGTTATGGTGTTGACAACTGTTCGCAGGATCGTGGGAGGCTTTATCAGTTCTTTGAGGATGTTGGATTCAGTAGCCAATGGAAACCCATTGTCAAGCATCTCTTCCAATACTTCATAAACCACCACCACATTGTCTTTGATTACTGGCTCTGAACACACTCCAAAATAATCCTGGTGAAAATGCAACATGTGCATTTATCAGTTAGAGGCTGCAATAAGTGAAGGAAAAAAAAGTTCCTAGGCAATAAGGACCTACTTCTGTCCATATACGTTTCTGGGATAGTCTATAATGAAGGAAGAAAATGTAACTATAGTTCTCTAGCTGTCTGGATGAGTTTGTCAGAAAACACTGAACTGCCTAATAGTACTAGTATTATTATTAATTTTGTTTACTAACCAGAGTTGTCATTTAAACCTGTTTGGACTACTTTCTTCAACTAGACAAAATAAGTGGTATATAAAACAATCTCTAAGTATAGTTAATGCTGTGTTGCATGTTTGGGAATTGCTAAAATTGTAGATCTTAAAAGTTCTCATAACAAGAAAAAGAACTGAGGCCTGAGTGATCATAGCGGGAGGGGATTTGCTTTGCATGCAGCCAACCTGGGTTCAATCCTGCATCCCATATGGGCCCCCCTGAGCCCACCAGGAGTGATTCCAGAGTGAAGAGCCAGGTATAACTCCTGAGCATGGCTGGCTGTGTGCCCCCCCCAAAAAAAAAACAAATAAAAAAGGAATAAAAGGAAAGTAAGTATGTGTGGTAGGGAGATATTGGATTTATTGTCAGGATTATTTTGTGATGTATACAAATGTTGAATCATTATGCTGTACACATGAAACTAGAATAAAGTTATATTTAAAACTATTATATACATTTATAAATAACTGCAAACAACTATGCAAAGGTATCTTGATATGGCATAAATTGACCTGAAAATCTTTTTAACCCTATTCTTCTATTTCTTAATGTTCATGAAGTAAATAGAGAAAACAAAATGGAACGAAAACAGAATAAAAATGAGCCAGAGCAATAGTTACAGCAGGGCACTTGCCTTGCACACGACCCAGATTTTGCCACTGGGACTCCATATGCTTCCCTGAGCCATACCAAAAGCAATCCCTGAGCACAGAGTCAGGAGTAAGCCCTGAGCACTGCAAGATGTGGTCCCCTCCCCCCAAAAAAGAAAGAAAAGGGTTCATAAATTTGTACATCAAAAAATCTCTTTAGATCATCTCTACTGTAAGATGCTAGGATTTTTAAGAACTCTTAGTTCTTTTAGTAACAAATGCTAAACTTAGATATACTAAATTTCTGGGTTGTGGGGGGAAAAATTACTAGACTTTTAATCAGAAGATTTAGATTTTGGTAATGTTAACTGTCCTCACTAGATTACATCATGCTAATTTGGTTCTTCTTGAATAGTACAATGAGGATATTACTACTGGGCACACAGGGACCCCATAAAACTAAGCATAATTGACTAAATGATAGTTTATGAACATACTCTGTAAACTTTCAAAGCATTGAGTAAAATATGATTCATGGTGAAATGATTTAGAAACAAATAATTGCAGCTATTTAGTATACCTTCTAGGACTTCTAATCCTTTCTTTTGTTTTGTTTTTCTTGTTTTGGAGTCACACAGGGCTTATTCCTGGCTTTATGCTCAGAACTACTCCTAGCAGGGTTCGGGGTGTCATATGTGGTGCCCGGGCTCAAACCCAGGTCAGCCACGAAAAAGACAAGAGCCCCATGAACTGTCTGATTACCCTCCTTGGCTTGACCACAGAAGGGAAGTTCACATGCCCCTTTTGAGAAATCTCATTTGTGAACAATTCCGAGTATTGGAAACTTTGTTTTACTAAACTTCTAAGATCTGCATTACAGTACAAAATTTACATAATAGCCCACAGATATCTGAAGACGGCTTTGAGTTTTCACTTCATATTTTTTCCTCTCAACAGTCTACTGTTTGTGCTGTGATTTGGCTCCTTGATCATTTTACCATCTTGTCATTTCTTCGAAAACTTCCTAATTTTCCTGTATTTTCTTCAAATTAAGATATACAAACTATGTCATTCCAATTATGGATGATATCTAAAAATGAACACAAACTCAATGTGATCTAAATTATATCAGACATCAATTATCAGAAACATTCAATATTCAGGAGCACCTAGGAATCAGGAATATGTCTTTAAAATAAAAATATTTCAACTTAGAAAATAAATATTTAAGGTAAGTTTCATATTTCTTTCTCAGGAGTTATTTATTTTTGTTTTTTGGGCCACACCTGACCGTGCTCAGGACTGACTTCTGGCTCTGTGCTCATAGACGATTCTTGATGGACTTAACGGCCCATATGGGATGCAGAGGATAGAACCTGGGTTGGCCGCTTGCAAGGCAAGTGTCCAACCCTCTATACTATCACTCTGGACCTATTTTTATATATTTAAAAATAAAATATATCATAGAATTTTATAAATCAGGCAAAATGTGAAGCTGGAAAGGAGACTTTTTAAGTATGACAAAGTGCTACAGCAAAAGTGCATTTGATTCAATAGCAAGAACTCTCCAATCACATTCTAGTATAAAAAAGTAATGCAGTCAGAAACATATCATATAAGACAGACATTACATTCTGGTTGTATCCTGATTTTAATGTTTCAAAATTGATGAACAATGAAGTCCCAGATTTCCAAATTAACAACTACATTGTTTTTCCAAATTCCTTGGTGGTTTTAACTCTTTCTCATTCCTCTCTTCTGTTACTGATATTGCTCTGATGATATGAAACAAATGACAAGTTTCACCAATAAAAAAGTTAATCTTAGAATGGAATAAAATGCATATGTGGAAAACAGCAAGGCCTAGCTAGAGCAGTTTAAGATCGTAACTTGAGGTGATTGTACTTTGAGTTCCTCCTGATTTAGTTCCTCTTTTAGAGTTAATAATTTGTATCCAGGTTTTCACTCTGTAAAGTAATATGCTGCATGATAAATGGAATCTAGAAGAGCAGTATCAGAAAGTTTTGTGGGACAATTATAAAATATATTTTAATTCTCTTGGAATGAAAGCCATCCTAGACATGTGATATGAATATGACTGCAAATAAAAGGACTCTTTGATTTTTTTTTTTCAGTTTTTTGAACCATACCAGGCTGTGCGCAAGACATACTTCTGACTCTGCTTGATGGGGCTTAGTGTCAGAGACTGAACCCAGGTCAGTCATGTGTAAGGGAAATACTTGACCTGCTATACCATCTTCTCTTCTGCTATTTTCTGTTTTTTTTAATCATAATATATAGGCTGATGCTCATTCTCCTTTTCTTCACTTCTACAACTTTTCTACACATGTGACTGATTACAGGTTTCACATGACATAGAAGTAACAAAAAAAGTCCTTACTTCTTATTGTTCATTTGAATTATACAAATAACCACAACAGAAGATGAAATCTGGAAAGCAAAGAATATCCCTATCTGTATCCAGAATTTAGACCGCCTAAGTCCAGTGCTAGAAAGCATGCTGATATAGTAGTAAAGTTTAATCTCCTCTATATCCTTCTCTTCAATATCTTTAAATCTATTTCTAACAGAAAATGAAAAATGAAAATTACATTTTGTAAATTGCATCATTTACAATCTTATAGCATTAAGAACTCTACTTTTAAATTGGCAACAAGAGCTCATTATTGTCCTCAAATGCTGTGGACAGGACCCCAGACCCAAGCTGAGTTCACAAATTATTTTTGATAGGGAGAATTAAAGTATTGACTAATTATATTTTTAAAAATATATCTTTAGGGGCTGGAGAGACAGCACAGTGAAGAGGGTGCTTGTTTTGCATGCAGCCAACCCAGATTTGATTCCTGGCAAGTAAACTCATCTCCTGATCATTGCCAGGAGTGATCCCTAAGTGCAGAGCCAGGAGTAAGTTCTCATATATATGTATGCATATGACGATATTATTTATACACTCATAACTTTTTATGTAAACCAAAGCTAGCATAAAGTCCACCATTAAAATAAAAAAAACTTATATAATTATATTAAGTAGGTTCTTTTTCATGCAATAAATTTTGTTTTGTTTTGTTTTCAGGCCTTACTATATTGGGTGCTGGGGATCAAACTTTGATATGGGAATCAAACCCATATCAAAGCCAAAACCAAACTGTTGACTATTGCTCTGGGTATTATTATTACTCTGGCCATCATCCAGTAAATTCAAAAGTGTTCATTTTGTTATTTTAGATGCTGCCAATAAACATAAACAAGAGTATTATTAGAAGGCACAGGAAGTGAGAAGTATCAGTTCTGGTTTCTTAAAACATTCCTCAACTGAAGTTTAATACACAGAACTTCAGAGACACTATAATTTACGTGTATGAAACATCTCACATTCACACACCTGGAATGTGTCCACTACTCGGTGAAGAAACTCAATGACAAACAGAGGTGGGACTTCTGTCTGGATCACAGCCACAAAAAATATCTTGTGCCGGTAAACACTTAACAGGTAGTGGTGAGGCGTAGGGATAACTGGAGGCACATTTTCTGCCTCAGTAGCTCTCTCTTGTGCCTCAAAAAAGTAATCACAAACAGAACGGCTGACCACGCTTTTCCAGTGTTTCTCCAAGAAAATGTCTCCGGAGGAGTTGATCAAAAATAGGCTATGAATCATGTTGGAGAGAGTGAAAGAGCAAAGTATTTTTTCAGTTGGAAAGTCTCAGGAATGCAAATTTTTAAACCTAAAAACAAAAGAAACTATTGTCAGTTTTATTTAATCAAAGCACTCTCTCTCCCTGTCTCCATCTTTTCTAGGGGGTCCAAGTCTTACCCCTGCTTTAAAAACTAAGTTTGCCTTCCTCTGCCGCACAGCTTGCGGTACTGCACTCCGGAATTCCTAGGATAATTAGGATCAACCATCTCGGCTGTTCGTATACCAACCAGTTATCTTCATATTGAATCATATCCTGAATAACACTCATTTAAATTTAGACATCATTCTGGACTTCTATTTTTCTCAGTTATGCTCACAGTTCCCAAAGAAGAAAGACCATTCCTCATGTTTTTGCTGCCTCACTGTACAGTTCCTCCTTAAATACAAAAAGGGCTTTGATAATGAATGAGGCTCATGGACATTCTATTCATATCTATAGGAAAAGTCTATGGGGCCCCGGATGTGGCTCAGTGGTAGAGAGCTTGGCTTGCACGTGAGAAACTGGATTCAATCCTCAAGACCTCAAAAAGAAAGTTCTTTTTATGGTTACGGTTGTGCAGTCTTATATGGTAGCCTTTAGCCAAATGGGACTATTGAACATTGGAAATGCGGTAGGTCCGAACTAAGAGGTGCCAGTTAAGCGTAAGACATCAGATTTTGCAGGCTCGGCAGGAAAAAAAGTACTCAAAACATTTACTAATAATGAAATAAGACTAATTATAAGTACTGTTGGTTCTACTTTGAGGTACTGGTTTAAATACATTAATTTAATCTTTTTACTAACGTGGTTTCTAGAAAAAAAAATTTCCACCTGACATATTTCTATCTGGCAGGCAGCTTTCCAGCACGGAATGCTGCCCCTGCGCTTCTGATTTCAGTGGATCAACCCCATTCTCGGAGGACTTGCTCTCCGCAAACTCAACCCCCGGGTCAGCAGTGGCGTCTCGACCATGGCCGGTCCTGGCACTGACCTGACCTGTAGTCCCCACAGCATCAGCGCCCAGGCCTTGCAAGGGGCAGGGCTAGACAGGCGCGCGGCAGAAGGCAGAGGCCAGGAGAGCCCGCAGGGGCTGTTTACTCGATGGTCCCTGTTGGGGTCAAGCGGGGATGGGCTGGACAGAGGCAGGAAGGGTGCAGCTACAGGCAGGCACCCCCCGTCGCCATGGTAACAGCGCCCGAGCTGAGCCTCTCCATCCCTCTACAGGCCCTCACCGCTGCATCCCCGCCCCTCACCTCTCCATCCCGACCCCTCAGCTCTCCAACCCGGCCCCTCAGTTCTGCATCCCAGCCCCTCAGCTCTGCATCCCAGCTCCTCAGCTCTGCATCTCAGCCCCTCACCTCTGCATCCCAGCCACCCACCTCTGCATTCCGGCCCCTCACCTGGACATCCCGGCCCCTCATTTCTCCATCCCGGCCCCTCACCTCTTCATCCCAGTCCCTCATTTCTGCATCCCACATCATCTCTGCATCTCGACCTCTCACCTCTGCATCCCGGCCCCTTAGCTCTGCATCCCTCTACTCTGCATCTCGAAGCTTCAGCTCTGCATCTCGGAGCTTCAGCCTTCCATCCCGGCCCCTCGACTCTGCATCCCGGTCCCTCAGCTCTCCATCCCGGCCCCTCGGCTTTGCATCCCGGCCCCTCGGCTCCGCATCCCGGCCCCTCGGCTCTGCATCCCGGCCCCTCGGCTTTGCATCCCGGTCCCTCGGCTCTGCATCCCGGTCCCTCGGCTCTGCATCCCGGCCCCTCAGCTCTCCATCCCGGTCCCGCGCGCCGCCCTGCTCACCCGCCAGGTTCGCGAGGAGTCCACCATTCCCGGCGCGAGCAAGTCCGGCCCCACGACGGCCCCCTCGCGCGCAACGGCCGTCGCTCGCGCGCTGATTGGTCGGCCGCGGGCCTCGCGCCTGCCTCTGAGTCTGCGTCTGTGATACGCTACTTCCTTTTGATTGACCGTTGCCCATAGCTACCGGGATTGGAGCCCCCAATTGGTGCTTGTTGACTCACACTCATCCCTGATTGGTGCGGCGCTGCGACTCCGAGTCCCGATTGGCTGCTGGGAACAGCCTGTTGGGACCCCTGGCTCCATCTCCCAGATACAAAGGGCCGAGCCGGCTGCTCTTGACACCCGCGTGATCACGGAATGAGCCTGGAAAAGGATGTTAAAAAGTGATATCCAGGACACGACATATCTAATAACATGGATAATAAATCATAAGCGGTAATAACTACTCTCCATTAGATAAGTGCCTTATAAAGAAATATGATGCCCTTTTCTTTCTGTACACAGGATAAAGGCGACTACCGTGTATCTTAGAGAGAGCTCTGGACCTGGATCCAGGAGCCGCTTCCATCCCTAGCCAGACAGCACCAGTTAGAATTTAAGAAGGAACTTGAGCTTTCAGAAAGGTCAATGGCTGTGGTACTGTCGTTTGAAGTATAGTAACTGAAGTCAGTGTCATGCAGAAAGTATGAAGTAGGAGTCAAATGACAAGGTTCAACTGCAATTTAACTAAAAAAAGTTATTCAATGAGATGATGTATGAAAACGGCTTGCCTTGTTTCCTAGCACATTGGACACATGCTTAATAAAATGGTAACCTGAGGAGATCTTGGTGATGATGTTCACCTAGATCCTCTCTTCTTAAACTATGGTGGGGTCAAGTAGCTGAATGTCTGCGAAAATTTTGGAAATAATGAAAGATTTCTGAAGGCACAGTGAACAAAAATTAATTCAAAATCAACTTTATATGAATTGGAGGTTTTTCTGGTAGTGCTCAGCCATATTGCATTCTTCTGGCAAAAATGAGCCAGGAAAAGAAGTTTAAGGAGCCCTGCCACAGATGATATGGCTGCCCCTCTGAGCTCCAGTTTCCATATTCATAAACGGAGCTGCATCTCTTCTTCACACACAAATCCATATGAAGGCTACCTGAAGGTGGAGCAGGGGAACTGATCTTGTTATTTTCTTGTTTTAATTTACTTTTCACTAGTTGTTATTCTTGATGTAACACTCACACCTGGCAGTTCTGGGGAGTTATCAGAGCCTCTCGTAGTGATGCTAGAAACTGAACCCTGAGCCTAGCATATTCGAGAACAGTGCTCTACCGCTTGAACCACATTCCACCCCTCTTGAAGGTGTGTGCATTGTTTTATCCCATATTAGCCAGGTGAACATAGTTGGCTAATTTTGAACTAAGTAAAAGAGGAAAATACAAAATTGAAATGAATGAATGGAGTGGTATCACATAAGCTTAGAGGTTCTGAGGTTAGACTGCATGAATTCTGAATTCTGCTCTAAAATTTACCAGCCTCTCTGATTTTGAGAAAATATCTTCTCTGAACTCTAGTTTCTTCGTAACTCAAATAAGGACAATAATATTATCTGCTTTTTAGACTGGTGATGATTGAGTTAGCAAGATGTTATCGGAAAGAAAGAACACAAGATACGATTACACAATGTTACAAAGCAATGTGCGTCTAAAGTGCAGAAATGCAATTACTGCTCTGATCATTTCTCATTCGTTGAATAAAATTTACTGAGTGTTCCATGCATCAAGCTCTGTGCTAGGTGCTGGGTTTGCTGCAGTAATTATTATCACAGGCATAAATGCCAGAGTCTAGTTGGGAAAACAAATGAGAAGCAAATAATTGCAAAACTATGAAATGCGAAGGACATATGGTTTGTATGGGTGTTGGTGAAGGAGCTTGACTTAAAATTATTGTAAACTAAAACCTTCAGCATAAATATGGGTTTTACTGAGATGAAAGCACAGAGATAAGAGTATATGTGGAAACCACTAGAATACAGTGTGAAATATAGATAGCCAAACTAGAATGGGAGAAATGGCACAGACTCTTTATGCTTTTCTAAAATGAATTTAGAAAATTTAAGTAGAAGACAGATGCTTGTGGCATTTGTAAAAAATATTTCATTGTGTGCACTGTCCATAAATATTTAGTGAGTTCTAATGAATTTCAAAAACTTTTCTGCTGCTTGGATGTACAAAATCTGTGAACATAAGCTAACAATTCCTGACCTAAGAAACTTTCATGCTTGTGGGAGGAGATATTATGATAAACTTAATAAGTAATGTATAAAGTATGTTGGAAGGTGGTGAGCTCAATGGGGGAAATAGTAATCAAGAATATCATAGAACTGGATGGCAAGTTATTGTGTTTAATGATAGCTAGTAATGATAGTAATGAAAGCAAGTCTCATTAAGGGAAGGCATTTGAACAAAGACTTGAAGGAGGAGAAGTTGCTAACTATAAGGGGATATATTGTAGAAGAGCATTCTATTATAGGGAGCAGATCATACAAAGGCTTTAAGATCAAAGCATGCTTGGAGAGTACCAGGATCAGTAAGGTAGATAGAGTAGAATGAGAAAGGGGTAAAGTGGGGTATGAGGTTGCAGGATTGAGGGTGGGACCTGATTACAGAAAAGTCTTGCTTTTAAAATAATTTGGCTATAAAGAGGGAAGACAAATCAAGGGTTTGAGCAAAGAACAGGATCTGACTTAACAGCCTCCTGCATAGATGGGTCAGGTTAGAGGAAAACTGGTTAGGAGACTGCTTTGATAATTTAGGTGAGAGCCAATAGGGCTTGGGCAAGGTAGGGCCTGCTATGGATGAGGTAAGGAGGAGTCATATTTTGTATATAGTTTGAAGGATTTGGTTAGATTTTAGATGAGTGGGATGTGAGGAGTGAAAGCAAAAGAAGAGTGAATGACATGAGCTGAGCATCTAGGCTAATATTATCAAGTGAGATTAAAAGAACCATAAGCACACTGTAGCACTGTCCTCCCGTTGTTCATCGATTTGCTCGAGCAGGCCCAGTAACGTCCCTATTGTGAGACTTGTTGTTACTGCGTTTGGCATATCAAATACGTCACGGGGAGCTTGCCAGGGCTTTTCTATGTGGGCGAGATACTCTTGATAGCTTGCTGGGCTCTCCGAAAGGGTCGGAGGAATCAAACCCAGCGCAGCCAGGCTGGCCACATGCAAAGTAAATGCCCTACCACT